ATTTAGCAAAAACAATAGCGTTAGCAGCAGCAGCAGCAGCAGCAGCTGCAATATCAGCTAAAGCAGTAGTGGCAGCAAATTCTATTAAAGTATTAAATTTAGAAAGAATAATAATAAAGCCTTAGAGTAAGAGGGTGTTATTATGCTAACCAGGTGCAAACACACACATAGTCGACGGTGTTACGTTTTTGTATCGCAGTAAGTTTTGCTGTTATATGCTACTGTTGTCCATTGAAGCATAGCGCATTGGCTGGCCGCACGAAAATTGAGCAAACAAAGCCCAAGGAAGTAACGAAAGAAATAAAAGCACAACAAAGTCAAATATTATTCAAGAATTTCAAGGCTACTTAAATGCTTTTCTTATAAAAGCTATTCATTACAACAACCATATGATAATAGCGCACAACCACTACACCACCACCACCACCACCACCACCACCACCATCGTCGCTATCATTCGAGCTTAGGGGAGAATTCCTAATCAATGCCAATACATTGTATAAATGTGTGTGTATGTGTGTGTGTGAGTGTATGTTTGTGAGTGTGTTTGTGTTAAAAACAGCATGAGTAGCCAAACCAACTTAGTAGGTATCAAAAATTTATGAATATCTACATCAGTAAGTTAGGTAGAAAAACAATGGAAACAAGTGTGGGCCAAAATATTCACCTTTCAAAATGTACTGATGCATGATTTATGGTAATCGCGTACCAGCCCATCCCACCATTCACTCTACTACTATGTATATATATATATATACATATAGAGAGTTAGTCATATTTATCGTTTGTGTAAGCCGGGCATATAATTAATTGAAACAATTATTTCGAGAGAATCATTATATGAGTTAAGTCATATTTCCATATCTACGTGAGTGTATAAAGCGGTTATTTGTTGTGGTAAAAATACCATAAAAATGCTAAACCTTTTCTTTTTATTTTTTTATTTTTTTTCATAGCGAAAGATCATTTTTCGCTTGGTAAACATAGATTACGTTTAATCAATCCGCTTATTCAGTTGTTTTATTTAATTAAATTGATTTTCTTCGTTAAACTTGGTGTTGATGCGTTATAAAGCTATTTTCACAAGATTCTTTACATACTAGGTTTTATATTCAGGAAGGAACCATAATCATCCAATAAATACTTTCGTGCTTGACCAAATCGCAAGATTCGATGATTGTTTCCCTTTTTTGTGTGTTTTGTTATGTGTCACTAGCCAGTTGATGGTAATGGAGAAGTAAGGTGGCTAGAGGAGCGGTGAAGTGCTCACGCATGTTTGCCATGAAAGTGGCGGCATCTAGAATTCCGAGAAAGAGTTATAGAGCCATAGGGATTTTCCCATCCACAGCTGCAGAGTGCGATTAGACAATGACTAATCGCGCTTGCGTCTTTTTCGTCGACGTCAAAATTCTTTTGACGCCTGTTTTTTTTCATTATCTGTGTTCACCTGCTTGTCTATCCGTCTGTCCGGCGAATTGTGTGAAAATTTGATTCTTCTCTTTTTGATTTTGTCTCGCGGAGTATATATTGTGCGGCATCCATTAACCAGTTGATATCAAACTTCGTTTTGGTCTAACTTGATGCGAGACGATCTTCGCTCGCAGGTTTGTAAATTTGCACAAGCACAAGCGGTTGCGGAAGTATTCAGTGAACTTACTGCCCATTTTTTAAGCTCTCTAAACGTATGGTTAGCAGTTTATTAGTCCGGAAACTCTTCTTTTTCTTCGGATGCTCCGTTGGCTTAACGTTTCGTTATGCGCCTTTTCCTTTAAATACCTTATCAGTGTCCTACCCCACCGCGCTCGTCAATCAGCAAACGAGTGGATGTATCCTGTTTTGGCTCTTTGATTTGTAAGCCTGCCAATCTCTTAGGCGCGCAATCTCTATTTTTAGTAACCTTTATGCGCTTTAGCCCCTATGTCCTCTATATTCCATGTGTCAATCCATGTGTCTGCCTGGCTCGTATTTCTGGCAGTCCCTCCCAGTCTCTCCCAGTGCTTATATCTGTCGATTCCGCAAGCTCTATGTCTTACAGCTAAGCTGTCTGCCATTTCTATCTACTATGTGCCAATATATTTGCACCTGTTACTACCTCAGTCCGTCCGAATTCGTTTATTTCCAAGTATTAGCACAATTATCTTAGATCGGAAATCTGCGCGATTTTAAAATGTCTAATTGTGATTGCGGCAAGAGAAAGGTTTAATTTTCTTTATCTTTAACTATTTAATCTTTTAATCGACAAGTTGCTTTTATTTTACATACATATGCCACCACATTCTCATTGAATCTATAGTATTATAAGAATCTAGAGTGTGAAGTAAAGCGAATATATCTGAGCAGTGCTTTTAAAAGTAAAAGAATTTTATCTTCTATTTGAAATAAGTTCAAATAAAACTCACATTTAATTAAATTAATGCAGATCGTAAATACGATTTCTTATCGAACAAGTGTATGAAGAGTACAAGAGATTTTCTTACACTTGATATGCAAATTTAGAATTATACGAAAGCTTTTTTCATATTATTTGCCATAATTATGATATTTTGCAACGATTTGCAAGCCATTATATAGTTATTAGTTATTAATTTATGGATTCGCGTAAAGAAAAATCAAGTTTTTTGTATTGTGTGTGTGTGGGGAATCAAGTACAAATTTGAAAAAAACATGTACGACGACGAGATGATAAAAAGAAGCAAACGAAGAAGAATGACGTAAGATCATCAAAGATTCTGCATTTAAAAGCTTTTTCAAATTATATATTGAACGATATTAATGGGACTACCGTCAATTACTTAGATAACTGAATAACATTTAATAATGAATTGTTTGTGGAATTTCTCGTAAATAAATGTTCAGGTATTTAATGGCTTGCAATTTCTCAAAGAAAATTTCCATAACAACTCTTACGTGAACTAATTACGTGTTCTTAAGCTTTAATTAATAAGTAAAGAGATTTTTGTAATCCATGCCAAACGCCATGTCATGTATTGAGTTGAAATTGTCATCCAATATACACGAAAGAACATGATGTCCATGAAATGTAAAACCAAAAGCATATATCATTCCATCAAATTTTTACGCCTTTAAACCAGAATATAACTTATGACCTTTGACATGTCGGCATTTGATACCGCGTTAATCAATGTGCAATTGCGCTTGCTTTTATGGTTGTGTGTAGGTGTATTATATAACCACATTCTATGCTCAATTTCCGTTAGACAGAAATTTTTGATTTTGTTTCATTTTCAGCTAAAACATTGTCCAAGTTAAACAATTTTTTTATTTTTGTTTATAAAGAGCAAAACAGTCATGTATATGTGTATACGAATAACAAAGCTATGCACATAAATTTTGAACTTAAAATTCTAGAATGTCATGGGTCATACGAAAACATTTACACACCCACGCTAATGCTAATATCAACGCATAAATATTCTGCGCACATATAACTGAGGGGCATTGCTGCTTTACCGTTGTCAGTGCTTTTGCCTTATTTGCTGACTTCAACAGAAAATTTTATTTAACCAAACAAATTTTACTTAGGTAACTAAAAACATTGTTAGATTGTAAAGCGATTACGGGGAACAATGGAGATCCAATTTCGTTTCCATATCCACTCAGTTTTAGTGTCAAAGTGAAACGAATTGTAAAAAGGAAATCTCTCTCAAATCGATACACGGTTTCAGTTGATCCGCACGTTAATAAAAATTTTTCATTTAAATCTAAGATTCGTGACAACATTTGAATTGAAATCTGTATTAAATTTCATGCCAATACCTTCAGTAGTTATGAACCCCTTTCGCGACGGGAGGTCTTCTATGTACGGTAGCATTTGTCGCATCACAGCAGCTGCGACTCCATTCATATAGGGCAGAGAGTATTTAGTGTGGAAGTACGGTGCTTATGCGCCGTCACGAAAGGGTTAATAAGAGATTCGTTTGTTTGCTTTGCTTGCGATTGCCGAACGATACGAGTTTAATTTTTGATAAAAACGTCTCGAAGAATCAATGCATTGTGGGAACGTGTATTAGCGTAATGCAATAACCGGAAACTGTGTCCTCGGCCTTGCTAGGTTGCCGCACGCAAACGGCTCATAAAGATCAAATCATATTTCGTGTTATAGTTTGTCGTAGCGGAAGGTATTCTTAAGACACGGAACAGCGAAATGCTTCATAATACGTATACGTACATAGTATACATAGATAATACAAATCTAAGATTACATTGACATACCCGGTATTCACTGTTTGCCAAGACTTTCTTTTACGACTTAAAATGAGTGACAAAAGGGATTGCCATCAGTAATTGCGTTATTGAGTTAAGCAATAGTATACCAGGGGATTTAGATATTTTGTCAGAATCTTTGAAATTATTTTTATTTTTAATGAAGAAGAAGCATATTAAAGCGCGACTTAGAGATAGAGTTAAGCCGTTTAGAAGGCAATTGAAATTTTTTTATCAGGGGGAAAGCAATTTCATTTCGGTTATAGCATTGGAAGAACAACGACATTGTAAGTCAGCCTGCAATTTCACATTTACCAACGATATATATACACTATGGCTATCTATGGGGCGTGTCCCTTATAGAAACATTTGAATATTAAGCAACACTCTCACTTCACCAACAGATAATTAGCCAATAATTACCCGTAAGTTGAACATGTTATCATCATATATTTTTGCCCATTATAGGGACATATGTAAACCTGATTTATAACCAGGAACTATATGCTTCAAGTTCGTATGCCAACTTTGGCGATTGTCAACATTCCAACAATCGAAGGTAGACGCAAGCATATTTTTGTTGGCATCTTGATGCATATTTACGTGGTCCAAATGATATCATAAGTTCAGAATCTTTCAAGATGAGTTCTCATTTTAACTTGTCCATTTTCCATTTGAACTGGCCCTATAAAGCCATTGTTGCCATTGAAATTTATAAAGTAGAGAATTTTTTAGATGCATTCGCTATACATTCACCAATTGGGAGCTGGAGATACATGAACGAGATCAAGATAGGTAAGTAAAATTAGGTAGGTAAAATTATGCAGAGTGAGTTTCTCCTACACAAGAAAATTTGTAGCATATGAGGTTTATGAAGGCATAGCCAAGTAAAGTACTGGAACTATCACTTCAATCATGACAAACGAGAGTTTGGTGCGGTTTTACTTTGCGGTCATGCTTTCTAAAAATCGCTAATGGTTCGACCATTATAGTGAATTGATATTTTACCAAACGATGCCAACTAAAGCCTTTGGCCTTAATTTAGCGCAACGGATGTGGAAGATGTTTATTTTCAGGCGCTAGCTATCATACAACTTGTGAATTGGTGCCTTTGTTAACCAATTGATTTCAGACTACACCTATTATCGAAGGATATTAAACATCACACAGTCTGATGGCTGAATATGAGAAATTTTCTGTCGGTAATCCCAAGTTTTCTGGAGTCGGCCTTTCTTATAGAAGGCTAATAGCAATAACAGAGGAAATGGCGCCGATTTTTAGGGGAAACTGTCGCAGTAGACTATCGCTCGCGTTTATGTACGCATTGCCAAATATATTCCATAACATCCCCTATGTTTCTTTCGCTCCGTCCATCTTCCGTCTGAAACTTGATGATGTTCTGCCGAGAAATCTATTTCGATTTTTATAGTCTTCCTAAGATGCCTTTCCAAATAGGCGTCAAAGAACAATTGCTCTTGTAACCAGAAACTCGATGCTGTTTGAATAAAGGGATAAACTAATAGCAAAATTATTATAATAATGCTTTGATTAAAATATTTTTATTTCTTTGTATCCATTTTATTAACAAAAAAAAAAAAAAAAAAAAAGAATTAATAAAATTCAAATTGCGTGCATGCACTCAATATATTAAAGATTTTACATACTAAAGCTTAGATTTGCTTAAGCAAATATTGCCCGAAACAATTTTTTCTAATACGAAAACAATTTTTATTTTGCCATAAATTTTTCAAATCATTTATGCCATAAACTTTAATCAGACTTGTTGTCATTCGAGTGCTTAAACTATTATTGTTATTGTTTCTCTTATTATTATTGTTATTAAACATTTATTAACACGAAACTATTTTGCAGATCAATTTAAATTTTATATGTTTTTGAATTTCTATACATGGTCGTTCTTTTTTGCTCGCAAACAATCAATTTTTTTTGTAAATTTTTAGCTAAACACCTTGAAAAGTGGGTGTAGTTTAATATGCACACATAAAAACGAAAAACAAAAAAACAAAAAACAAAATTCGAATGACGACAACAGTTATAACATTCAATACTTACTTGGTTTGAAAAATCTTTTTATTCAAAATAAAAGGATAGGAGTTTACGAAATTTGTAAGTGCGCTGACTTCAGACTAGGGATTTGATTAGGAGTTTAGCCGGAGGATCAAGGAACTGGGATTGGGCAGCTGCTGGTAGTATTTCTGGTCTGGTTGCTCCGTTCAGACCATTCCAATAATGAAGTTGATTTAAATTCGATATCTTATCCTTAAAAAAAAAAACAAAAAACAAAAAATTCCCTTAACACACTTTCAGGAAGAATAAAGCTATGCGTAGCTGCCCATCAGACCCAGGGGTTCAGCAGCATTATTAAGATTGAAAATAACTAAAACAATTATATTCAATTCGTTGACAGGGATGGCGGAGCTCATCCATCTTTTGTTCTTAGAACATGAGTAATTCCTCAAGACACGTCCCTTACTCGTGTAATTTGACGATGGTCGGAATGAAACGGTGTAAAAAGGGGAAGGGATAGCCAGTGGCCGAAGTTTAGTGGATATATAGCAAATTCGCAAGTGCTATCGACTGAGTATTCGCTACAGTTACCACCATGTATGGTCAACTCACACCAGAATTTAAATCCACGATTACTGATTTTGTAATCGTCACACTTATGTACTCGGCTAAGAGGCAGCCACATGCATATTGTTAATTATTAGTGTGACAATTGTTGTAGTATTTTTAGAGGGAGCCTTTACAACTGGTCGTAAAAGCTCTGATCAATTTTGTAGACGACATTTACCAATGACACCTGAACCACATCCCGGGTGTTCACACAAAGCTGTCCTAACGACTACAATATAATAAATAGCTTTTGTCTTCTAAAAGATAAAAGAAACTATGTTTTTCTCTTCTTTTTTCTTTTCCGGTGAAGAGCGCGACAAAAATACAAGTATGAAATTTCAAACAACTTCGGAAAACGCGCTTAACAATGTCCGATATATGTCCGGCTCAATTCCTGCCTACTGTTTTGCCATTGTCAGCTGCTCAGTAGCAGATTGCAAGGAAACAGGTTTACACACGGTCGGCTAGAAACGATTAAATTGTCTCGGAATATTAAATTCCTCAAGAATATATATATTTTTGTCCAAGTATTATAAACCGAAACGCATACCTACTGTTACGAAAATCCCAGATCCAGTTAATTTCAGCTAAGTAATTTTCCCTAATAATAAATTTGCTAAAGAAGGAAAAACCAAATGAGCATTCGCAGGTGCCGCATGCAGCTGCAGGCCGATGAAAACGATTAGAGGAAAAGCAGGCTGGCATTAGAAATAAAACCATAAATTAGGTAAAGAATTCGTAGCAAGCGTTTAACGTGGGTTCCTGCCTGAAACCTGCTTAACCCCACGGTGGCCCAAGCCCTTTTAAGCGTACTACGCCCCCTGGCGAGTTAGACAATCCCCACAGAATAGGGGCCTAAACAACACCAGAGTCCAGAACGGTTTATTGTGTATGGAACAATAAACCCCACTCTGGTCAGTGGTGAGGCCTAGCTGCACTCAAATTGTTCCACTTTGGCTAGGAACTTGCCAACCACAACCACCACGAGTACTCCCCGAAGAGCCGCACCCAAGCAGTCAGGACTCACAAATTGATCAACGATATACGTTCAAAAAGGGTAAAAAAATTGCGCTCGCTTCCGCCATAAGGCTTCCACGGCGCCGTTAATCCGCCGTTACCACCATTACCTGCAGGCATCCGTGACATATGTTCAAAAGTAAAAATAAGGCAAAAGGGGAAAAAGCCTTTCCGTCAAATCCCGTTTTTAATTTTTGCTTGTATTAATTCTCAAGACAGTTTATTAATTAATAGGCCAAAGGGAAGGCCATCCGTCAATTCCTTTTTGTATAATTAACTCTCTCCTGAGAAAAATTTTAATTCCAACGACTTTATGAACAAAGTCCATCATACACCCGCAGGCATACGTGGCTTTGTGAGGCGAACCTCCTGATCCCCGTGGCTCCCAGTTTGTTTTACAAAGCCTTTGACATACTTTGGGCGGATGTTAAAAACAACCGTACTTGCTTCGGATTCACCATACTTCCTTGGTTGCCAACACCATGAACTAGTTTTCTTCGAGATATATAGGTCTCGGGTGTTGCACTGACATGGCAGGGGCGACTCGCTAGATTACTACCATCAAATTAAAAACCATTCATTCACATATTTCCTCGGTAGTAATCAGCTATTGAGTGAAGAGCTCATCTTCCAGCCAACCCCTCCATCATCTCTTAGAAACTCGTCGCCGAGTTAGTAGCCCAAAACCTTAAACTCTTCTTACCCGGCCGAAGCCGTTGCCCGGGGATCACCACTGGGAGGTGAGAGTTTCGGCACATCTATGCTACCCATTAAAGCATAGTTTATCTGCCCAAAATTAGGTATAGTAACATTCTTGTAAAAATGTATATAAATAGAATATTTGTGGAAGGGAGAGTTAGTCGGGCAAGAACATTTGAGCTGAGAGTACGGCCAAAATAAATTGTAAATAATACTATATGTAAGAAATATAATTGTAAATAATTGTACTCCTACTGTTGTGAAAGACAAAGTAGTAAAATAAAAGAACTTTCAAGTGTATTTCTCTTAACCAAAATATCCACGATCCGGTGGTACGGACTGTATCTTAGTAAAACCGAATTTCATAACACTTCATCTTTCAATAAAATTTTTCATATAGAATATGATTATAAGTAAATCATTTGTTTTGTTGAAGAGCAAGTTTGGCTTTCTCCTTTTGTTTTTACTTGCATTCGCCTTCGTTCTTAAATCAATTTAGTTTCTCTCTTTCTTTTACTTTTTCTTTTAACCTTTTATTTTCCAGCCACTTAAGGGAGTTAAGTTCCATTTGTATGACAGAAAGTAATGCTTTTCATCATCTAATCAAAGTGAGACACTTTATATTTTAGTAACATAGTCAAGAGGTCAAACGATCGCAGAAAGTCGTCGTGTAGAATGTAGAATGTGTAATATAATACTTCAAAATATGCGACGGGAATTCTACAAAAGACTCCGATGTTCGTCTTTGATTTATTGTAAAAATTTTCATCGAAAAGTAGAAAATTTGTTAATTCATTTATTCGAAGTGATCGGCTCACAAACAGATTGCAAGTTTCTCTGTTCACTCTATTAATCTACTCGCTATAAATATGCGCTCCTACTAGAGTTACATGTGGTTCCGTGAGAAACATTAATCGATTAGTCTGTTAATTTCATTTATCGAAAATTGTGATAATCGCGTGAACCGATGGGTATACAAGATTCGCTCCAAAGTTGTATGTAGCTTTCTTGTTCTTCTCTTTTTCTTGTTTCTTTTTTGTTTCTCTCTCTCTCTCTCTCTCTCTCTCTCGAATATTTTCATTACAAAACAGTTGTACAATTGTACAATTTCATGCACACACAACAACAGGTCATGCTTGCAAATGTTAAATTGCATATAAATTTATGTTTTGCAAATTCATTTGTAGCAACACCAACGAGCCACATAAATAATTTCATATTTTAGACATTTTGCGATTTGTTTAAATGACCTTAAATTATGACGAATAAAAAAAATGAATAGAAAACAGAAAAAATAGTTGAAAATAAAAGTCAGCCAAACTTTGGATATGGAACTATGCGAACGAAAACATGAAAAATGGTATGAGGCGTTAAACTTTTAATTTAAATAAATTGATGAATGAAAGAAATATTGGGGGAAAAAACACATTTTGCACACTTAAGGAATTCTGAGTTAAATCTTATACCCTGAGCAGATCATGGAAAAAAAAATTAAATTGATCTGAAATCTTTTATCTCTCTCCCTCTCTCTTTCTCTCTTTATTACGGAAGTGAGTTTATTGCAATCAGATCTGAACGCTGTGGCCTTCCGGTGCTTGACAAATTGTATGCTGTTAAGTTTACAAAAGTGTAAAAAGTTGTGATACCTTATCCACTAGTTATTATATCGATGATTATATGCTTGATAACATATCTACTTGGAAGAATGTAAGGATTATCTTTGACTTTAAAAGCAAGTATAACCGACATGTGGAAACAATCGTGAGCAAATCCAAATCACTTTTAGGACTCATGAAGAGATAACGTGAGGAAGTTGGTGATCTATATACAACTAAACGACCAAACGTGGCTTTAGTTAGGCCGACATTTGCATAGCGTCTAGCTATCGGTGGCAAAGAAAGCTTCTACTTTTTACGCCGCATGGGTTTCTGTAACCATACCGTCCTTCCGTATGAAAATAGATTAAAATTAATTGATCTTCTCTTCTTCGTGAGTGTCGAGGTGCCTTATTTTAAGGCCTGTCTTACCCTTCTAAGACTTGAATGCGTCTCTTTGATATAGTTTATTTAGGAAATTTGCGGCAAAACACTTGGCCCCGTTTAGGTGTTGCTCGAACTTCAAGAGAATGATGAGAGGAAATTCATGATCAGTTTGTTAAACTATAGACCACTTATGATAACAATGTACAAAATTTGTGCGGACTTGTAGAACGCACCGAAAAACTATGCGCAGGTGCAGCTTTTATTATGTCAATCGATGTCGAGTCAAACCTCTCTGTGCATTTTTGCACATTTTCTATGTATATTGATAAGATCGTGGACATGAGCACATTTTGGACTATGGATGATTCTTACGGAAAGAGATTTTGATTGAGATTTGAAAAAACCTGTCACATATGAACAAACTTTTGTAGAAAAGTTCCTCAGAATAGTTAGCTTAGGCCTACAGTCAAAGAATTTTTCGTTTTCCTTAAAATTATGAATCTATTTTGCCATATCGAATGGATTCTTCAATCCATTAGCTCTAAACTCTTAATAATCCTATTACTAATAGAAAGTTTAACAAACAAAATCCAGATCTTGCAATAGAATCTAATTTTTTTACAGTTAGAATCACACGATCACCTGAAACGGATTCTATGGTAAGATGTTAAGAAATTTCTGTTTTCAATTTACAATCCAAGGGGCGCCCATGGAAAAATTGTATACCCTTCATACTCTGCGAGCTTCTCAAAGTATGTCCACAAGTTTTTTTATTAATCTTAGGTGCATGTCCGCATTTAATTTTCCAGAGTGTTGAACTGATCGCGGACTGTGATCGATTTCATTAATAGCTAGAACCAAAACGAGTGCGTTGTCTGTAAAATACATTTTTCAATTTCTGTAGCAAACGTTCCAATGCGGAATCGATATTAGAAATCGGTTTTTTTTGTCGTGAAGAGGTACATACCGCCGTACTATGCCCATAACCTTATTTAAGATCGTCAGTTTTATCAGAAAGAAAATGGTTGACTTATTTGGTGATGAAATCTTCAGGTGACGTCCGGTACTTCTCTATCGCTACAGAAGCCCAAAGGCAAAACATAATAAACTTTTCTAAGCTCTTGAAATGAATGCCTCTTCTAAGAAAAGCTGATGGTCTCACATCTCTTTTTTGAGCCAATTTTTTTTTTTTTTTTCAATGACATATAAACTCACTCTGTTTTTGGAACACTGGACATTGGTTGCATGGACGCAAATAGGGTCCGTCATCAATATCAATCCGCATAACAATTTACATCACTTTACGATATACATTCCAGAAGCACACAAGTATATAGTATTTTGATAGAGAAGCTCGTACTTCTAATTTAAAACTTAATAATGATCTTGATTAAGACAAAGTCTTAATTGCTTATGGATTTCATAAAACTAATTCTTAATCAAAAGTTACATTAAATTCTTACGCAAAACGTAAGAAGTTCAATAACCTTTTTCGTGGAGATTGAACTTTAAGTTATATCAGCACAATATAACAAAAATTCGCTGACCAAACAATGATTTGACATCCGCTTGGTTAAATATCCACTAAACCTGTCTAAGACTCCACCTACTTGTGCAAAAAATGTGGTACAAACAAAAAAGAAGAAATAAAGTAAAAAATTTCGTTGGACTAAAAACGAATCGTGAATGCCCAACGTGTGTTACGAGCCTAAAATAATCCCTAAACTTTTCGATAAATTGCCACAACAGAGATTTCTGCAAAACCGATGTTATTTGTAGAATAACACATATCTTGTCAGTTGCTAAGTTATTCTCAGTTACAAGTCACAAAATAATTGTGTCTTTGCTATGCTGCATTAGATCCGGAAGTTTAAGTTAAATGGAAAAGTAATTCGTTTATAGAAGAATGCAAAAATTGATTCATAAATTTAATGAAACATAGAGAATGAGAATATTTAAGTAGAGCATATGAAATTTTTGGTTATATAATTAAAGCACCTAATGTCAAATGCAATACGCCTTCGAAAAGCCGGTCGGCCAGTTCATGTATAACAAAAAAGCCAAACAATGACAATTTAAAAAACTGAAGTAATTATAAAATAAATGAAATCACAAAAGATATCAACACGCTAACACTGCTGCCGTCACCACCACCACCACCACCACCACCACCACCACCATCGTCACTGCCACCAAATAATGGCAACAATAGCAAAAGAAACGAAACATTTTGGCATCAAGTGGATAAAGATAAAAAATAAAAAAGTTTGGAAAATAATGCAACTGAGTCTAATCTAACGGCACACAAAATAACACAATTGGGCGTTAATATCTATGTTTGCATTTACGTTTATGCAGCACAAGTATACAACATAGAAAACTATGCGGATTTTGACACATATATGAATACATATGTATATATATTCCACAATAGATGCAGATTTAAAATGCACATACAGCCGAACCTCGATTTGCACGGTATTTGTTGTTATACAGAATATGTTCATAAAACGCACAAAGTCTCATCAAATGGATTTTCTGCATCGAAAAGTACAAACTGCGTTCTTGGCTCTCTACCATCACAATGGTATACTTCATTAACTCAACCTAACCTCAATATCAGGCCATCATTATTTTCATGCTTAAAATTTTTCGCTTTTTTTCTCTTTGCATTAAAAACGTAAACCGAGCCAAAGCAGTACTGTTGGTTTTCAATCGTTTTCAATTCAGTTCCAAAATAAGCGCCAGACAATTTCGATGGGAAAGCTCATTTTCGTAGCTAATAAACTTAGTTCAGATCAAATCCTTTTGCGAAGAAGTACGGTACTCCCTTCTGCTCATTTCTTTACCTCTTATTCTTTTCGATTGCATTGATTAGAGAAGTATGACACTTTGGAATTATTCGGTTATCGGAACCGCTGTCTGAATACACGTTTTTTTTTTATGTGAATACTTGCTTATGCAGTCTCCATTACGCATTGTATAATGACGCACGACAGGCACATTACGTTATATATCGTTTCAAAGGGAGGCCTGTGGCCCGTCGTTTCCACATTAATAAAACAATGCAGTGAAGTCATCATAACAACTTTTTTTTTTTTTGCTTTAGTCACAAGACAACGGATATCTGAATACGTTGGCTTTGTATGGAGCAAAACACTCGACCACACTTGACTCACGTGAATTTGAGTACGACTGTAGCCACCAAAAAGTTTCCGAAAAAAACCGTTCCCAAATACCTAACCGACACATAATGTCCATCGTAATGTGGAGACGATTACAACCCTTGTAATTGGCTTCAGGTTTATAGGTTTATCTACATTTTCAATCTGCGCAATCACATACTTCGATACGCGAATGCGAATAATTTCACTTAACCGAGAAGGGCTTAACAAAATCAGCGCAAATGTTAAAACATAGACATTAAAAAAAAAAATAAATGACGTTTGACAAATGCTGCTTTGGAGCTATTTACGCAATGAACAATAGCGTCATCCCTTTATGCTGCAAATTCAATGCAAACGCCAGTGATATCAAATGAAATGATTTGACAAAGTCATAGAAGTCACTTCTTTAGTATAAGTAGCTTTGCCCGATGTGTATGTAGTCTTTTTCAACAAACTTATTTATGTATACTTTAAATAGCGGAAAACATGGACGCAGTGTATACTAAATTACAAACCATATTACAACGAATAATGATCTGGTGACAAAGAAGTTTGTTTTTTCCGTTACTCTTATTGTTACCGCAGTCGATTTTGTTCTTATTTTTGTGGTTTGTATTGCTTTTCCGAAATACTTTTAATAAACGGGTGAGGTTGAGATCGCGAACAAATTAATTTCCAGATATTTGTGCAAAGAATTTAAATATGCGTGTGTGTGTGTGTGTGTGTGTGTATATATATATATGCATATTTGCGTATGTGTATATTTTTTGGTCTTAAACTACATACAATATTAATATTATTATTAATGATAACTGAAATGTATGCGCTTTACAGTCAATTTTTTTGTTTGCTGCTTTTTTTTTATTAGCAATTTTTGTTATTGTTTTTTGCTTTCAGTTATAAGATCATTATGTATGCATTATGTGCAAAGTTTTACACTACCCCGTCAATAACACACGAGTTGGTGGTTGACATAGGTCGATCCTGCTCTACCTAACACAATAACTTTCAAGGCGTGCGAAAATATGTGTTGTTTTAAAATTAAATTTAATATCTTTTTATAACGGAAACTGCAGAAATTTGACTTCGACCTCTAGCGTTATATTACTTACCCAATTTTTCCTCCTTTATTGAACACGGTTTTTTTTTCTTTTGTTTTTTATATTACTGATCAGAGACACTGCTAGGGCAATATTCAAGAATATGACCTAAAAATCTCGCCAGATAGATGTACTTCATCTTGTTTATGCTGAGAAAAGTGTTACATCTTTCGGAAGATAAGCGAGCATAACTGTTTTACTTATTCCTCGAAGACTTTCTTCGCTGAAAATATTATGTGCGAGATTTCTATAAAAAGATATATAACTGTTGGTTTAGACGGAGAGTTTCGATTAGCGCAAAACACTTAAAAAGCAATAACTTCCTTCTTTTGCATCCATTATTAATGCATTGGCATGCAGTACCTATACGGTTTGAATAGAGAATCGAATTAAAAATTCTTTAAGATTAAGTTAAACTCTCAGGATCATATGAGATCAGACAATGGTATCGTTGCGAAACTCGACGCGAGTGGCAGGAAATGCTTAACCTATATTAGGGATGAGCTTGGCAATGTGGACGGCGGAATTAGCAGCAATCCGCTTCAATTTAGAAATCTCGGCTAAAGAGAAATCATCGGCACTTGCTAAACACGCAATGTCCTAGGGATTGTATCGCTTTCTTTATTGAAGAAAGGCAGCTTCAAACTATACTGATTTTTTCTCCCATAATCTAATTACGTGAGTTCAATTTTTAGGACTTGAATTCATCTGCGTGTGACTCTCAAAATTGTTGAAATGTTCTTAATCAAAAAACGGCTTACGATCGGTTTTTTTCGTCTTTGTATGAGTTAACAACTCAACTGCATTGTACAAGTGGTGTCTGTACCAAGACGGAAGGTAAAGTCTTCTTTACAGGGGTTGCAAGTGTTGTAATTTTCCAAAAGATTTGATGATTCAATAAACTTACCTTATAATACATACGGTTAGGCAGAAGCGTAGGTAAAATTTGTATGAACGAGGGAGTAGTGCTAATATAAGTTTGCCTTAGAAAAGGAGAGAAAGACGCATGCAAATCCATTGTTTCAAAGGCGGGGTCCAAAGGCTACATGGACGCAATGCTCAAGATGCCGAATTTGTTGGACACACTCTCCTCCTTCTGGTCCCTTCGTGTACGCGTACGAGAGCTTCCACACAAATCTAGGAAGACTTGCCCAAGTGTCTGTCGCAATAAAAAGTTTCATCAAAATAAAATGACAATTTTTTGAATGATATTTTATTACCAGGGAGACGCTTGCATGCTAACTAAAAACATTGCAAAAGCTAAGTAGGCGGATAGTATGTCTTAGAATTCAACCACGCAATCTGGACTGTATACAGAATCTAAAAGCAAAACAAAAAGCAAAAAAAAAATTCTTGATCGACTTAAGATTTTGAACCGATTCGCTTGCCCACTCATTATTTTAGAAAACCTTATCTATCTAATATTGCTGAAGAGGATCAAAACTGACTCGGAACTTTCTGCTGTGATACCTGTTTAAATTTTTTTTACTTATATCGCCAGCATATCTCTCTCAATCTATATTCGTATTTATTCATAAGATATCCTGAGAAGATGCATTATTGTAAGAGGTCTTTAAGACAAAAGTTGATTTTCGAAATCGTTTGTGTCAATTCATGGCGTATTTCCGTGACAGCAATTAAGTCTGTAAGAACTTTGACTTCCTTCACGTAATCCTCGTCCGCGCACACGGAATGTAGCCAATATACGTTTGTCATTGTTATCTTTTTTTTTTCATTCATTTTAAAAATCGAAAAAGGCTCTATTTTAGATGAAAATGAACAGAGATAACTCGAACTATTACTTATCGAAGACATGCTAGTTATGGTGCCCTCAACCTAAGGAAAATACTATTCATTTGCATTAAGTTGTTCTACACTACACAAAAGTCTTACTATTTTTTGATCAAAATAGTGTAAATTTTTCCATAAAATGGAGGGAATGAATAAAATAGAGGCAACATTATCAACTCATAGCATTTTTTTATGTATTCAATTATTAAGGAGAAAAAATTTATGAAATTTTCCAAGTTTATTTCGCATTCACTTACACAATTTTTATAATTGTTGAACGAACGACAATATTAAAAACTAAAAAGAAAAAACACTCTCAACTAACTTGGAAAATAGTCTAATATTGTATGTAAATGCCTTGTTAGTCTTACAACGAGCTGTATGCGCTACCTAAGGAAAATAATTAAAATTGTTGCATAGTAATATTTTTTTTTCAATTTTTTCTGGCGACCACCACATGAGACCACGAAAACTGTGGCAAACTTGGCATACCCGCTGCCCTTGCTACTATGGCATTTACATTAAAAAAAAAAAAAAAAAAAAATCATTTTATAGTTATCGCTGTTGCAAAATAGTGCTGGTGGACTTTTATTTTTAAGCTATTTACGCGCTAGGTCTACTAACAAAAAACTACTGCTTATAAGTATATATATATATAAGAGCAACGCCTAAAATATATTTAAAAACACTAGAAAGCGAATTTTTTAAATTTTAAATAAAATATATATATATAAAATTTAATAACAACATGCGGGCGTGTCAGCTGTGATAAGAAATTCGCTACACTTCAGGTTATTGCATAACTCCTAAATTCTTGCTATTTCTTCTTCTACATTGTATTCGAAGGGTACTCAGCAGGTTTTCCAACCTTTTTAATAAATTTAAAAATAAAAAAAAAATCCGTCTGAGTGGCCGAGAGTCGGCAAAGAATCTCGACTAATAACTCATCAATGCCCGTGGTTTCAAAGTTTTCAATAAGCACGACAACCTTAGATTGCTAGTGCTTTAGGAGAGAAATAAATTCTAAGACTTTAAAGTCTTATAAAGCAGCTGGCAATCTAAGGCTATCGGCTTTTATTAAAAAACTCTACCTCACTTGAGATATTCGAACCCACGACCATTGACTTGCTAGTCGAGACCCTTGCCTACTCGGCCACTCAGCCAAATGTATGATAGATTGAT